AAAAAAAAAAAAAAAAAATCTTAGTGAGAATGATTGAATTATCGGACGAAATGTTGGGTACAATTGTGCCGATAATTTTGTATTGGGTTTATGCCGGGATTTACGGCGTGCTAGGACACGTCGACAAATTCCGGTTACATCCGGCAGCGAAAGAGGAGGAGAACTTAGTGTCGAAGAAAGAGGTTATCTTCGGCGTTTTACTTCAGCAGGCCATTCAGGCAGCCGTCGCCACCGTCCTCTACGCCGTATACTAGTTTCTTACCTGCTAATATTTTTCTTGTTCATGGGATATTGGTTATAGTTTTTTTTTTTTTTTTTGTTAGTCAAGATTTATTATATCCATATAATTTGTAAAAAAAATATTATTTGTTCTATCTCATTTTAGAAAACAAAAAGTAGGTTAAATTGCATTTTTAGTCATGCTGATTTAACGTCATAGTATTTTTAGTCCCAAAATTTTACTTTTTGTCTTTTAATCCTGTAATTTAGTATTTCGCTGCAATTTCAATCCCCAATGACTGAAATTGCAATAAAATTTAAAATTTACAGGACTTAAATTGCTAATTAAAGATCCATTCAAAATATTGTTGCGAAATTGCATTGACTTTTAAAATCATATGACGAAATAGCAAAAATGTTCAATTTTTAAGACCAAAAACGACAATGATAAAACTAACATGGCAAAAATTGCAAATTTTGCTTAAAAAGTATAATTGTTATTATAGGTCCAAGGCAAGCCGGCGGTCGAAAACGAAACCCCCGCGCACGTATCCCCGCTAGTCATCTCCGTGCAGTTCCTGGTGGCGATGGTGGTGATGGACACGTGGCAGTACTTCATGCACCGGTACCTTCACCACAACCAGTTCCTCTACAAGCACGTCCACTCTCAGCACCACCGCCTCGTGGCCCCCTACGCCTTCGGTGCTCTCTACAACCACCCTCTCGAGGGCCTCCTCATCGACACCGGCGGTGGGGCCCTCTCGTTCCTCCTCTCCGGAATGTCCCCACGCGCCTCCATATTCTTCTTCTCCTTTGCCACGCTCAAGGCCGTAGACGACCACTGCGGAATGTGGGTCCCGCGCAACCCGTTCAGGTTTATCTTCAGCAACAACTCTGGGTACCACGACGTGCACCACCAGCTCGGGGGAAATAAGTTCAACTTCTCGCAGCCTTTCTTCATCACGTGGGACCGGGTGCTCGGGACCCACATGCCGTACGTAGTCGAGGAAAGAGAAGGAGGCGGTCTTCAGGCGAGGATGGTTAAGAAGAAGATTGTTTAGGATGTTAAGTGTGCTTTGGGGAACTTTTTATTGCTTTGTGGTGTTGGTATATCTCATCCCTTTACATTCGGGCTGTTGGCGTGTTTATTAGTTTTTAGTCGTGTTTACGTTATATTAGTCTAAGATAGTGTCGTTTTGTATCTTTTGTACACATGCATGAGAGCGGGATATATAAGTGATTATGACCCTCTTTTTGCATGATCTGAACAGAGTGAAATGAAATATACAGAGAAAGTATCTGCATTTTCTTCTTCGATTTCTTTGATTTCTTCATGGTTTCTAGTGCAAACGAGCCTGGTCGATCAAATTGGAGGTGATTTTTCAGCTTCTGTTGCACTGAAAGACTTTGATTTAAGGATCGAAGGTGTATTCGCAAATGAAATTTGGGGAACAGAGCTCGTGAGGTGCTTCAATGGCGAAACATGATCCGTTTATGCTAACAGAGAAAAGCATAAAATTACCGACAAGATACAGGGGAGGGGTGAAGTGATTTGAGGATCTTTATGTCTATAAGAAGAAGAGTCGACAAACCGAGACAATGGTTCCTTGCAACTTTCCCTTGGAAAATTAGCATTAATGTTTAAGGCGTGCATCATTTTCAGCTCTAAAACATTCAAACTTTCTTCAAAAGGAACGTGATGAAGCAGCTGAAAAGTTGTTGAGGTCTTGTGATGTTTGTTTTAGATCTAAACATCATAGGTCGCATTTTTCGATAAGCAGCATACACACCACGACTTGTTTTGAATTGCTTCGTGTTGATGTGTGGGATCGTGTAAGGAGGAGTGTTTGACTCATATACACCCTATTTCCTCACTGTGGTTGATGCCTGTAGTCGATATGCTCGGGTTTTTCTGATGGTACATAAGTCGTAAGCTATGAAGTTGATAAAGGACTTTGTGGTCATGGCAAGAAGACAGCCTGGATGTGAAGTGGAAATAATCATATCAGACAGTGGCAAGAAGACAGCCTCGATCTCCATGAGCATGTAGCGGGGTAGCGAATTGAAGTGATGATCAAAGCAAAAGCGCGCAAATTCCTACGGTACTCGGACTAGGAAAAGTAACTAAAGTAATGTGATTCGAAAAACCAGGTAATATAAAACACTTTGTTTTTTGGACATATGAACATTTTAACACTATGTTGTTCCAGCTACTATTTCTTCTGGAAGTTGAGAATCTTGATACAATAAGCATAAGTGAGGGCGAAGCAAAGCGCAAAACCGATCAGTATAGCTAGAAGAGGCCCTCCGAATTTTGGGTCGTAGCCAAAATGTTCCCTTATGTACGTTTTGACCATCGGCCGTGTCGTTTCCCCTGCAACACTAATTGTATCCTCGACATCTCCATATTGTCCGATTATCAGACCGTAAATCGTCCATGCTGTCGGCGAAATCCAACAGTACCATCTCCACCATATGGGGATATTCTGATAACATCCAAAGGAGGCCAAAGAAAAATTAAATTAAATTAAAAATAAAGAATTATTATCCCTTTTGTATAAAAACTCACCGGTCTTGGAATGAAGAAGCCGGAGAAGAGGTTGAAGAGTGCGTAAAAAGCGGACGAAAAAACGGATGCCAATGTTGGGTTGGGTGTGAGGGACACGGCCATCATACCGTAGTACGTGAAGTAGAGGAACGTGACAAAATTGACCGCGAAAAACCACAAGAATTTGGGCACGGTCCACTCGAAGCCCATCATGGCATACACAATCAACGTGTAGTATGAGGCTTGGAAGAGCACGTACGGTATCTCGAGCGCCACATGGGCAAAGGCATAAGGGAATGCCGAATACATCCCGGCTGCCCTTTCCCTATAAAAAACTGTCCTCTCTAAATAAACGACGAGCTGGACTGTGTGGCTGTTGGTGTTTCCGATGAGCAAAACCGTAGCGTACATGGCTCCCATGATGGTCAACAGATCTCCATTTGTCTCCCTAAAATCCGAAAAGAACAAAAAAAAAAAGATGGCAATTAACTTTTACTCTGTTTCTTTCTTCTAAAGTTGCCTAATAATATTGATATGACGAGAGTCGAGCACCAGACCTGTTCTTGCCGACTTTCCAGAAAATTGTGCCGACGAGTAGTGCACTCGCGAACGTGAAAATGAGCCGGACGAGATTATAATGAGGGCTTCTCCAGTAAGTCCACCACTGCTTCCATAGACATGATGTGAACTGGCGCCACGTGGACTGTGGGTACTTGGTGTCGAAGGACAAATCTTTCGACTCGGGAGTTGGTGGCTTGCTCAGGTCTTTCACCAGTGCTTTGTTTTGCCTGAACTTAATGATGTGTTGGTGTTAAAGATAAAAATGTTGATAATTTGGAGTTGTGTTGTGTTTGTGACTTTGTGTAGTGATTTTTTAATTTTTTATTTTTTGGCAGCTCTTACTGATACATGTCGGTCGACTTGAAGTATTCGGAAAAACCGATTCCGAGCTTGGATTCTGTAGCTATCGAGGTAATTTCGAGCATCCAAGTTGCTGGATTGTACTTGTCTTTGATTCTAGGAACTCCAGGAATTGTCTGTTGCATGACAGTTATGTTATATAGCAATTTTATTCTCAATGATGAAAGTGAAAGGCAAAAACAAAAACAAAAAAAAACACTTTTTTTTTTTTACTTCGAATTACTACCTCAAAGTATTCGATGATTTTCCGTGACTCTCGGCCTAAGGGTCCTGCGTAAATCATCTGTCCGCCTCGTTTCATAAGGAGTAACTGACTCCAAGGGAACAAATTTTGAATTATTTCGAATTGTCGGTAACCAAAACGAACAAATGAAATGATTCCGTTAATTAACTACCTCGTCGAAAGCTTCGAATATATCTATACTCGGTTGATGGATTGTGCAAACAACAGTTCTCCCTGTGTCCACTGTGTTTCGAACGGTTCTCATAACAATAGCTGCTGCACGTGCATCGAGGCCAGAAGTCGGCTCATCCATGAATATTATCGAAGGATTGGCTACAAGTTCAACGGCTATCGTCAGTCGTTTTCTCTGCTCGGTCGACAATCCACTTTCTCCCGGGATCCCAACAATGGCATCCTTCAGATCATCGAGCTCGACTAAGTCCATCACCTCATCAACGAAAGCCTGTTCAAAAAATACAAATCATGCGTAAATTTTCTCTAATTTTTCTAGCTTTTTTTAAGAGTTGTTTTCACTTTTTTACCATTTTTTGTTCGCGAGTTACTTCCTTAGGGAGACGAAGAAAAGCCGAGAAAATCAAGGACTCGTGGACAGTCACTTGAGGCGAGTGGACATCGGTTTGCTCGCAATATCCCGAAATTCGCGCGAAAGTTTCTTGATTCTTAGGGAATCCGGATATACGTATATCACCTTGTATGTAACCTCCCGTTTTTCGTCCGGCCAATACATCCATGAGAGTGGTTTTTCCGGCTCCACTAACCCCCATCAATGCCGTCAAAACTCCCGGCCTAAATGCACCGGTAATGTCGATAAGTAGCTGCAGTTTATCCTCTTTCACTCCCTGTTCCTTCATTTCCTGTCAGGTAAGAAAATAAATAAATAAATAAAACAAGCGATCTTCGAACAACAGAGTAGTTAAAGAGGAGATAAAGTTTAGTTTATCTTTCTTACAGGCGGCATATCCACGAAGTAGTTCACGCTGTCGAAGGACATGACGAGAGGAGTGAACGGTAGGACCATTCCTTTCTTGGACTTCATTGGTCTTCGTGCATCTTTTGTTGTATCTTCGTCGAGATCAGCATCGGTCTCCCCTGCTGCCGGCTCCTTGGATACGGTTACAGTTCGTTTCATGTCGATTGCTGTTTGTGGAAAACGACAAAATATGAAAAACCAACTCACGAGAGGAGTAATACACTCAAATCTATATATATCTTACGATTTAGATACGTAAGGGCGAAGGTGAAAAGAATAATGTACAGTCCCGCGAAGCCAAAAAGGGCACCGAGACCAATCCAATACCAGCGCTCGTGAGGGGGAATGTTTAAGTTGTTTAGTGTGGCTATGCCTAAGCTTGTGGTGTTATCCATAGCCTGCATGTGAATGAAAATTCTCTTCATAATCCCTTTTTTATTTCTGCTCCAAGGATATTTTTTTTTTTTAAGGAAATATAGAAGGCGCGAAGGTTTTTGGTCTTACCATTGTGTTCATCCACCTCGGAGCAAACATCTCGTTTATGATCAAAGCGTTGTTACCGTAGCTCAGAGGCAAAGCCCAGTAACCCCAACTCAACCAATGTGGAATCTTGTCTGCATTTTGAAGATCAAGTTGTTTTTGTATCTATGATTTATAGCATGAATCTCATGATTAACTGATGCTTGACTTTAGATTTAGCCGTTGAATCTTCATTAGATAAAGAAATACTAACTCCCGATTATCGATTGAAATCGATGAAGTTTCTGCATGTTTTCACATGCTTGAAACTCTGTTAACCAATTTCTCATAATCCAAAGCTCGGATCGATGATCGAATTGTGTATTTTGATCCTTCAAAGTTTATAGCTTCTGAAAAATATAAATTTTTCTGAAAATCCAACGGCTAGATCATCTGTTAATCGGTGTTCAATTAACGAAACATACCGAATGTGATTAATATATAATAAAACAAGTAAACTTCTTATATACAAAAAAATATTATAACAAGATCGAAAGTTCTAAAACAAGTTCGATTACCTCTAGGAAGTGCGAAACCGCCGAAAAGGATCACCATAAGAAGAACAAGCGTGCCACAGACATCAGCTACGACTTTCGTTCTACATACAGCTAATATCAGCTTGAACATCCCTGCAGCCATTTGCTGGATAGCAAATACCAGCATTAATTGCTTAAAGAACCTGAAGAAAAAAAATGACATCCGAAGTTATTAGCTACTGTGATGTATAATAATATAAAAATCTAAATTATTCGCCTCATCATTCATCAAACGAACTTTACCTACTCGGTTCAGGCGCAAATCCGATCGTGTAATAAGTCGTCGCTGTCCAAACAATTGACTCGAGCACAGATATCGGGACCTGCAGAAGAAAACTCGGCAGAGCGAAAGCCCAAGGCGGGTAGAATAGAAGGTCTCGATGCTTATAAAACAGGGGAAGTCTCTTCATCAAGAGCGGAAACTCGACAATACCGTTGAAAGTATTGCACGTTAAGGTGAATAAAAGCGCGCCTACATACAAACCGCCGTCTTGCTGATCTCTGGTGTGCATTTGTGTCCGTAAGAAGACAGTCGATGCAATAACAGCAACTATGAATATTTGGACCGATTTCAATATGTAGACGAACGAATTTCGTCTCATCAGCAGCCATTCCCTGTCGAGGTTGGCCTTGAAAAGGTCCCACTTGGGGACTGCGTGTTTTTCGAACGTGAGGGCCGCCTTGTGGCTCGCTGACTTGTCGTAAGGGATGGAAAGCCCGTTTTCGAGACGTTGGCCGACGTGGAAATGTTTGAATCGAGCCGCGAATTCCTTGACCGGAATGTAGTCGTACGGTTTGCTCTTGTTTGTCCAGTATTGCTCTTGATCTTTTCTTGATGTCACCTAAAAAAAAATAATAATAAATAAATAAATAAAACCATTCTAACGGTCAGATAGTCTCGAAAAACTAAATCTCGAAAGAATTTATTTATTTTTTTTAAAAAAAAAAGTAGAATCGAACAACTATAAAATATAGCTACCTCCTGCAAGAAATCGGCGATTCCTTTTCTTTCGGGGCATTTGAAACCGCAGCTTTCGAAGAATTCAACGGCGTGCTCTTTTGGACCTTGATAGACAATATGGCCTTCGGACAAGAGAACAATATCGTCAAAAAGATCGAAAGTCTCGGGAGATGGTTGGAGGAGGGACATGAAAATGGTGGCCTCAGTTAAATGCGCGATTTGCTGCAAACACTTGACGATCTGAAATGTCGTGGAGCTGTCGAGTCCAGTCGATATATCGTCCATAAAGAGTGTCGTTTTCGGGCCCACAATCATCTCCCCTGTACTCATAGTACAAAAATGAAGAAAACGAAGTTGAAAAAAAACAATCTCTTCAACTTCAAATTTATACACAGTAAGAATAAACACACACAAAAAGAAGAACACCTGTCGTAACTCGCTTCTTTTCGCCTCCGGATATTCCTCGCCACATCTTATCTCCAACAACAATATCTCTACACACATCAAGTCCTAATATCTGAATTTAGCAATTAAATTGATTTAAGATAAAAGGTATTTGTATTTCCAATCTCTTATTTTAAGAAAAGCACTATGTGATGGAAGTAAAATAAAGAAAATTTGCTTGCATGTACCCTGATAGTGTAGTCTGTAATAAGGCTAGCCTTCTCTCCCTCCATAGAAATTGCCTGTTTTATAAATTTTGACGAAAAAAATTGATAATATTATCGACACTTTTTAACGCGCACCTTCGTGAAAAGATCAACTAAAAAAGATGGTCACGTTATCTAACATTTACAGACGCATTGTATTCGTTACCTTCATGAAAAGATCAACTTCTGCCTCAGGGAAAATGCCTGCTTCTCGTTCTCTTCTCGCAAGCTCAGTCAATAGTTCTATTCGATATTCAGATGAGTTAAGTTAAGAATTTCAAATGAAAAAAGAAGATTACTTTCTAAAATAAGAACATGTAATAAATGTGATAAAATACTTCTTTTAGTACAAATAACAAGACTTTTTTTTTTTTTTTTTTATTTCGAAACGAAGTAAATATTTGTACCATAACGCCACCCGACGCCTTGGCATCTTGCCGAGAAATCGAGAGTCTCTTTAACTGTCATTTCCCCTGCATGGACATCGTCTTGGCTCACGTATGCTGATGTTCTTTGTGGTACAAATTCATCGAGCGTGTGTCCATTGTACGTGATTACTCCTCTTCTCTGTTTTCGAACAATGTGAACAAGTACCAAAAGTTTTTTCAACACTCGAGTAAAAAAAGATTGCTCACATTTTTTTTTTTACCTAAGCACGACCATCGTTAAATTCATGAAAAGTAAAAACCTTTAGACTAGCGTCTAGCCTTCCCGAGAGAGCCAGCAAAAGTGTCGATTTCCCTGATGATGGTGGTCCTAATAAAAGTGTCATCCTATAGCAAAAAAAAAAAAAAGAAAAAACGTATAATGTGAAGTACGAACATTTGAAACGAAAACTTGTTAACGAACATACAAGTTATTTTGGTACGAAGTTGATTGACGAAAGTTACCTAGAGGGCTTTATAATGCCCGAGACATCTTTGAGTATGGTGAGTTTGGATTTTCGAGCTCCTCTTCGAATGCCGAAGCAATTTAGGAGCTTCTCCACCAGGTCATAAACGGCATTAGGCAGAGTCGGAAGGGCCCTTCCCATGTCCACAAACGAGTCGACCTCCACATTTAAATGCTCGAATCTCACTTCCACTTGAGGAAGGCTTATCCCAACTCTGCAATTTTTTTTCATTTAGTATACCAAAACAAAACAGAGAAAACCGTTACGTCACAAAGATATAAGTCAATATGGTGCTTCAAGTAAAAAAAAGAAAAAAAAAAAAAAACAGAACAAGTATGGTCGATCGCTCAAGTAACACAAACGCTCGACGCAAATACATTTTCGAATTTAAGGTTGAAAAAAAAAGGAAAGAAAAGAAAATGCTAAAGCAAACAATGTAAGAAAAAACTTAGCTACCTATCGATACGATTCCTCAGCTTCTTGAGGAACTTTTCGTTGTCCTCCTCGGCAACCTTAAAAAACCGGTCGATGAACTGTTGACGTTCGTCTCGGCCGAGCTTCCTCACATCAACGACTCGGACAAAGTTGTCGGTTTTGTCCGGAGAAATTGTCGTTAGAACTGTTTTTCTCAGTCGTTCGTAGGTCGGCAGTCTCTGCAGCGCTGCCCAACGCAGGGAAGTCTCCTCGTCGTCTAACGAAACCTCCCTTACGCTCATTGTTCGTCGCTTTTTTCCTTCTTTTTTTTTTTTTT